GAAGTCTGTTCGCAGTTTACGACGTTTCGGGCTTCTTTTTCGGTTTAGGGTGCTGAGTGTGTTTGGCTTTTTTAAGGGTTTAGTGGGACTTTTGGGGTCTTTGGTTTACAGGCTTGGGGCTCTCAGTTTGAGGGGTATGATTCAGGACTTTTGCGACTTTAGTGCCTGACGGCTTTAGGTTTCGGTGATCTCTTCGTGCCTTATTGATCACTCTTGTGTTTCTTTACAACTCCAATTGCTTCGAAGCTGAACAGTGTCAGTGCATGTCAACAACAGCCGTGACGATGCTATGCATAACGGCATAACGTTAATGATAAATCGTCACAGTCGTAGTGGTAAGTACTGATAGTAACAGTACTAGTGACCCTAATAGTCATGGTAGTGGTACTGGAAAAATACTCCTCCTCCTTCTCCTCCTCCTCNNATGATGATCATGATCACCATCATCATAGACTCATAGTCATAGTCAAAGGTGACCAAACAGCCCATGCGGAAGCTCGAGGTGAAGCTTCTAAACCCTAATCCCCGAAGCGTTCTGAAACCCCAAACCCTAAACTGTGGTCCTTGCGGGCCTCTTGGGCAGAACGAAATTACAGATGAAGTGGACGGAGCCTTAAGGGCTTCGGGTTCCCCAGTTGCGGAAGCTCTAACAAATCGTTCTGCCATGGCTTCTCCAGGTAATCCTTCTTAAGAGCAGCAGGAACTGAAGCCCCACCTACACCAAATCTACCCTAAAACCCTCAATCTCTAAACGAAAGAGCCTGAGGCCCAAACTCTCAGCACAAGGGCTCCCAACACCCGGACTGAGGAGGCGGCTCGGCAACGCGGCCCTGAGCAAAGATCTTCCCCGACCGAAGGATGACGATGCCTGCACATCTTTAAGGTTGAAACCCATGGGGAACTTTAAGGTTGAACCCATGGGCCCGTAACATGGGCCCTTAGGGGATTCTAGGGTCCTTTCAGGGTATATATAGGGTATATAGTAGGTATATTAGGGGCCCATCTGTCTGAACGACTGTCTGTGAGTTTTAGGGTCTAGGGGTTAGGGCTGATGCATGGTGTGTTTACTTGTCGCTATTCTTTTGATGCTGCTGTGGCGACTAGCAGAAAAACGACGGCGAAATCGTTTGCTGCTTCCAGGACTCCAACGAACTTCTACTGTGAAGCACACATGGACTTGCTGCGGTTGCCTCGTGCTGCTGCTGCTGCTGCTGCTGCTGCTGCTGCTGCTGACACGACACACTAGTTACTGGTCCTACAGGCTGACGCAAAAGTCCGAGGACATGAAGTGCTGGCATGTGTACGTAAGTAGGAGCTAAACTGCCAGTTCAGGACAAAACAAGAGCAACAGACTGCTAGTTCTGATAGTAACCATGACCTTCATCATCACCATGGTCATGCTCAAGCTGTCAGCATAAACAACATCCCTTCCACCATTGTTCGTCGCGGCATCAGGGTGACCTCAATGTCATCATCATGGGCCTCATCAGATCTCATCAGAAGCACTTTAGTTAAGGACAAAGAAGACGAGAGCGACAAATGCTCTGCTGCTTGCGCAGATGCTCGTGGTAGTTGCGGCACAGGCTACGACTTTGGCACCCGGTTCCGTTGCTGCTGCTGCTGCTGCTGCTACTGGTGCTGGTGCAGATACATGCCCCATGGTATGGTTAACTACTTATGCCTATGCCCGAAGCTACATTCCTCCCTCCTGGACTCAGCGAAAATATTCGCACGCTTGAAGCAACATGCCCCGCCTGCCCATCATCATCATCATCATCATCATCATCATCCTCGTCGTCGTCATCAGTCTTACATGCCTTTGCTGCCAGTCTCGGCAAGCTCCGTCTTATTCTGCCATCGTGCTGCTCCCTTCGGGGGCTAAAGATGCAGAGTCCGGCTTCAGCCGCGGCAGCTTCTAAGCAGATGAGTCTGCGTGGTTTCAGATCCCTGGCTCCCATTTTATGAGCGCAGGAGTAGTAATAGCATGTAGTGCCCGTGTGGCCCAAACTATAAGCCACTCCAGGTCCAAGACAAACTACAGTCCGGCCTGTCTGCACATCCCCCACATCGGTGAGGCAGCGCAGCCACCAGGGATCTGCGGCCTAGTTCCGTCACAGATATGTTGTTGAGGTTCTCTGGGTTTGGAGGGCATCGATGTAGTTGGCTCCGATGGAGATGGGAACACTTGATACGACCACCAATTCAGGACAAGATTATCTCGTGGTGTTGCAAGCGCGGGGCACTTCATCGAAGCAATGCGGTTCACAAGCATTCGCAAGGCATTCGACTATGGCCGCCAGCAGAGACCGTCACCAAGCTCTTGCCTACTATGCCAAACCATCAACCGATAAGCTGAAATCACATGGCTCCGGTTGGACAGCTGCACTTCTCGAGACGGCCGCCAACGTTCGGACTTCTCATGACTGATGCCCCTCCAACAACTCCGAGAAGCTGCATGGACTCTCCTGCCGAACCCTAGGCCCTAAACTTCCGGACATCGCTCGCCGGGGGGCAGTGGCGAGACCACAAGAAGCTTCAGCGTGTGCAGAGATCAGACACCGGTACGATGTTTCTTGTTATCACATTCCTCTTGTCATTATGCAGTTGGCTAACTACTCAGGTTCGAGCTGTCACATTTCAATCCATCTACTGCTTCCACCAGAAAGTTCTGAGTGCATGTTGAACCCGAAGCCAAACCATAAACCCTAAAACCTAAAAAGGGCCCTAAGAATAAAGTGTTAAGGCAAGAACGGCCACCATCACCGTGCAGCGCCTGAGAAGGCACAGTAAAAAATGCAGTGGGCCCGATTTACCCCGGGGCCCTCTAACTTTGGCAGTGAGGAGCCTTCTTTGACAATCTAGCTCTGATGAAGACCTAATATAGGGCCTTTAAAATTAGCATAGGGTTTCGGGTCCATTATAGTATGAAGAAAACAAGGAGCCCCCAAAATAGTATAGGTAATTATTGAGGCCCCTATGTTACAGCAGTAGGATCCTCTGGCTCTGGGTAACGACGCCTTCAACAAGACCCCAACAATGGTTATTCTAAGCCTTCTGAGCCCTGTGCTGGCCCTTGCTAGGGAAACTCATTCTGTCGAGAAACCCGAGCATGCTGCGACTGTCGTTACTAATGATCTACTCTCACTTCATTTGTTCACTGCTCCTGCTGTGCTGGCCGCGGTAACCAGTATTACTGCTACTACTCAAACTGCTGATGTTTACTATGGGTACTGTGAGTGCAGCCTGCTGGGACTGGGACAAGACGGGACAGACAGTGAAACCGAACATGGAAGTGCAGGAGTGGGAAGGGCTTGGGGGCTCGAGCTTAGGTCGTAGGGTTTAGGGCTCAGGGTTCGTGGGCAGCCTGCTGGAGGGAGAGGTGTAGAACCCTACACCCATCACCCTAAATCCCGCAAGCTTCGAGAGGCTGTCCCTCTGGGGTTGCGGACTCATGGTTGATGAAAGGTTTGGACGCAAGCTTCTGCAGTTCCTCAAACCTTCTCAGTCAGGTAGCCAGCGATCGCGGGGCCCTAAACTCCAAACCTTAATTCAGGGGTCCTGTATTGGAGGATCCATACATAAATAAATAAATAAATAAATATATATATATATATTTATTTATTTATGTGCCTGTAAATGAGGGTCCCCCAGGCCATGCGCTCTGAAACTTTTGCACCTCTACAATGCCTGACATGGCTCTATTTCCTCCCAGCTACTTTTCCACAGAAACTTTGTGGGAAAGCAGCATAGGATAATGACCGTTAGGACGCCACTCCACCTATTTAAGAATTATGACGCTTCTCTGCCAAAGCCTGTGACCGGAATCTTTCAACTGTCTGTCCAAATATGAAGCCACTGCTGGATCTTCGCCACCCAAAACCCTCAAAACCTTTGTGAATGTACCAGGATCTACTCTTACGTAGGATCTGACTGTGAACCTTGACCTGGTACAAGGGACTCCAAGGCACCCTGCTAAAGTTATGGTTGCTTGTCGCAATCCCCTAACCCCTTTCCGGCCTCAGCAGACCGTCTGTCTGTGACAGTAGCGATCTGCAAACCTCCGAACACAGCTCTCGTCCTCTCGTCATCGTCCGATCCAGGGTCTGGTAGTCTGGTGCTCACCCTCAACCCTACACCCTAAAACCCTTCACTCATTGGTCTCGGATCTGATTCGGGCTTTTGGAGTCCTTTGCCTTCGATCTTTCGGCATAAGCTGGTCGGTAGGTGAGCAGGATCTTGCCTACGGAGTTCGCATAGATACGCGAAGCCCGAAACATGCTGCAAGAGTCTACTGCAGGGGCCTTGATAATTAGAATGTGGTTTTGGGGGTATGTTATGCTATACTTATAATAAGGAACCCCCACAATAGTGTTTGTAATTATTTAGGCCCCTATCTTACACTTCAGTCTTCGAATGCTGGGCAAGGAGAAAGCCGGCCTGCTTCGCCACCTCCTTGTCCAAAGCGCAGAAGGGGTCGTCCAGCAAGACCAGCGGGGATTGCCTTCTTATTAACGTGGGGGCCTTAATAACTGGAATAGGGTTTTGGGGTTTTTTATGGTATAGTCATAATCAGGGACCCCCAAAATAGTACAGGAAATTATTAAGGCCCCATATTAGTATAGGAGATCTCTAGGAGGCTATACTTGCTCTGCGGGTTCCCGCGAGCGAAGCAAGAATCTTTACGATGGACACCGGGCACCGGGCACGCCCGACAGTAGCTGCCAACCCTGCTGCCACTTCTGCCACTACGGCTACCACTTCTCTTCCTGAACTCAAACCTCGACCCTAAACCCTAAACCCTGAACCCTGGACCCTGAACCCTGAACCGTAAACCCTAAACCCTAAACCCTGAACCCTGAACCTTGAACCCTAAACCCTAAACCTTAAACCCAGAACCCTAAACCCTAAACCCTAAACCCTGAACCCTAAACCCTAAACCCTAAACCCCCAAGGCTCGACTCCCAAGGCTTAATCTCCTAATCCCTTCCAGCTGAAGAGACAGGATCCTTCTCATCGGCTCCCCCTTTTACATAGAGGAGTCGAAAAAAACGAAACCACAGAAAATCAAAAGGATCACTAACATTCACCAAGTAAAACACCCGCGGAGTCTACGAAACATGGAGAGATACACCATCAGAAAGTCTCTGAGACCTAAACCCGAAACCCTAAATCCCCAATCAATGAAACCTAAACCGAAACCCTAAATCCCCAATCAATGAGACCTAAACCCGAAACCCTAATCCCCGAGTTCTAAACGCCCTGAGTGCCCGCCTTTGCTGCAGCTCCACGAGGGCTCGGTAAGCAGCTCTTGCGAGACCTCAGAAGGCAATATAGGGCCTTATAATTGGAATGGGGTGTTGGTGCCCATTATACTATAACTATAATAAGGAACCCCCAAAATAGTATAGGCCTGGACTGGGATTTTGGGATACAGTATGATTGATTATCCGGGCTTCTGTGGTATGCGGAGCAAAGCTCGAGGGCTTCAGGGGTTTAGGTTCTTAGGTTCTTAGGGTTCTACCGGGGGTCTGTATTGCGATACAGGGCTAACGTAATGTAGGGGCCTTTATGTTTAGAATAGGGCTTTGGGCTCCTTTAAAGTAAAATTATAATAAGGAACCCCCAAAATAGTATTGTTAATTTTTCAGGACCCTGCACTAAGGGTTCCTCTAAGGGATTGGGGTGCAGAGTTCTAGGTCTCTGGCAGGGGTTTACGACGATCTGTTCGTGGATTCGAAGTTAGAGGCTCGCAGGGCAGGGTTTTGGGGTTTTGGGTTTAGGGTTTCAGCGTTTAGGATTTTAGGGTTTTAGGGTTTCAGCGTTTAGGATTTTAGGGTTTTAGGGTTTCAGCGTTTAGGATTTTAGGGT